TAGACTTCATTTTATGACTAGAATCGGCTAAACCTTAACTCTGATACCATTAAATGTAACACCCCTAACTCATACCCGACCCGGATACAAGTCTGAGGTGTCACATTGACTTTTCAAAACATATATATTCATAAAAACTATATGAAACTTTAAACTTTTATTAACACAAAAGTCATAAATACATAATTGAGTTCGACACATTACAAAATTGATCAGTGCATGCGTAAATTACACCTTTGTACATGCCAATATTTTTAACCCAACAAAATACATATTGTAAAATTTACTTCTGATCTGATCTTGGAGAGAAGATATGTTGCTCCACTAATCTTAAGGTTGATCCTCTTGCTTTCCTGTACCTACATGTAAATCACTTACACGCTAAGTCATCGACTTAGTGAGGCATGAACATATAATAAGAAATTTCTATAAATATGAACTTGTAATTAACTATTTAATAACAATTATGCTTATCATATATTCATAATGCCATATATATGAATCACTATAAACGATAATTAATATGTTAACATATGATCATGCACATACTCTTTATATTTTTATAAGCCCATGTACATTATTGAGAACTCAAGGTATATAGTACTTTGAGGTTGTGCACACATATGGTATCACAATAACTCGTATAAAATTCCACTAAGTGTCGTATGAAATTTATGTCCCGAAAGACCTATCCATATGTTCCGAAGAACATATGCAACTGTCCATATGTCGCGAATGACATAGGTAAATTGTCCATATGTCTCGAAAGACATAGGTAACCCTCCACTCTTGGCATGCTAACTATACCTATAGCTCTCATGTCACATATCATGGGCACCATTGTTATGTTGCATATATTCATGTATTTCTATCATTTCTCTTATAATCACATGTTCCTTTTCTTCTGTCACATACCGCATGTATAAACATCTATTCATATCATATCACATATCTTATTTCAACTTTCCAAGTCAATTCATATTACTTGTCACATATATCTTATCACCTACCTTATCTTTTATACTCGTAGTATTACATATATTACTCCATTTCATACATAGTCACATGTACATATCACTGTCAATTTCATATCCCATAGCATATGTTATTTGAATATGTTCGTAAAGAGTCTATCTTATTCATCAAATCATACACACATATATATAAAGTATGCATGTATTTATAATGATTATCATGTATGCAGGTTCATACTTCTAAGCTATGAATAATAAAATAGGAATAGACTTATCACAAGTCTTAATTCCTTTGAACTATATTCATAGTATGCACTCACTTTGACCTCACTTAGTTCCCAAATTCACCTCTAATATATCCTTATTTAAATAGAATCCTAATTAGGTGATCATTCCAGAACTTGCTCGCGTTCGATGTCTTTTCTCTTGGCTTCCATGCATGAAGAAGAGAGAAGAAGAAGAGAACTCTGGAAGCTTGCTTATTTCCTTCACTTCCACATGTAACACATATATATAACCCCACACAATAATTATCTTACTATCAAATTACCATTTTGCCTTCTTTGATATTTAATTATATACCATATTTTCAATATAAGTCCCCGTAATTTTCAATTTATCTTTTTGACCAATAAATTTGAAATATTTCAATTGAGTCACTAACCCGATATTGAGGATATTACAAGGTAGGCCAAAAGGGTGTATGCCTCTGAGATGTAGCGAAACCTTTCGACCATACCATAATGTCTACCTTTGTATGTAACTTTTGCTTAGTATCTCCGAATTCTAATATTTACGTCTCATAGCATGTGCATGTAGTGGGCATATGTAATATAGATTGGTTATTAGTGTGGCACCGAGCTTGTGAGCTCAACATTTGAAATTTATTTTTGTGCACAAGTTCTTATGAGGAGTGTTCGAGGAGCTTATCGTGCAGTCCACATTCCAGATTGATACCATCTTTTGAGTACGTCTTGAGTATATTTTTAGAGGGCATGTAATGTATGTGGATCTTCTGTGTTCTAGTCGTAACTATATTTTAATATATATTTTAAAATCAGTTGGATGTATTTTGGGTGCTCCCATAATTATAAACTGTTGAACTATATTTTGATATAACAATTTAATGCAAAATGTTTTTGGACTTGAATTAATTTTATTCAAAGTTTTCAAAAATAATTCAAAGTCCTTAAAACTTGGAATTGAGCACAAAATAATTTTCTGGACAAGAAGTACCGATATTGTTCTTACAGTATTGATACCTCATGAACAATACCAATATTGTTCATATGGTACCGATACCAAGGTAAGGGAAGTATCGATACTCACTAGGTCGTATCGATACTACCAATATTGCTCAAATTTCATAATTAAAAAATGGTACTGATACCCAAAAAAATATCGATACCCAAAGAGATACCGATACTACTTTACATAGTAGTACCGATACCATAGGCATAGTATCGATACCATCAGGCCCTAACGGCTAGTAACGGCTAGTTGATTTAAAAATAACAAAGGTAGTATCGATACTCCCTTTAGGAGTATCGATGCCCTTTGTACTGGGCAGTTTTATTTTGTAGAGATTTCATCCCCAAATGGCTAGAAAACATTCCCAACGGCTAGAAACGGCCACAACTTCATTTCAACATATAAATACAAGTTCAAGACACTTGAAGAATGGTTAGAACACCTATCCAAGCATTCAAACACAAGAGAAGGATTTTCAATTCTTATTTTTCTATTCTCTAGTAAATATTGTGTTTTAGTGAGCTTTAATTTGTAAACACCTACCTTAGAGAGGTTTTCTTGTTTATATTTCTTTTCTTTGTGAAAAGGGGTTTGGTTCTAGTTTAACCAATAAAAAAGCTAGAGAGTGTAAATGTTATCACTTGATCCTTTAAAAAGAAAAAACAAATCAGTGAATTTATTAGAAAATCTTAAGAGAGGAGCTTAGGTAGTGGATGTAAACTTGGTTGAGAAGTTAAACCACTATAAATCGTTATGTAATTTGTCTATCTTTCTAATCTTCTTACTCCCTAAACACAAAAACCAATTCAACCCCTCTTTGCAACTCTTTCGGTTGTCAATTTGAGCTTCCGCAAATGCCAACATAAACTTAAATATTTTATTTCTGTTTTTTGTTCATGATGGGTATTTTTATATGGTCTTATGATTGTTTCAAAAAAGAAAAATTTTGGGTTAGCCACTTCAGTGGTCCCATGTAGCGTACTAACCTATCGATCTTCGGATCATATTGAATTAAGACGTTACATGTCACATCATCACCACAATGGTTAACAATGAAAAATGTTGGTTAATTGGCTACATTAGGCTTATTTTATGTGTTAAAGGGCCACATTGAAAGAAAAAAAATGGCCATATTGATTTTTTTTCAAATGTACAGAGACCTCTAATGCCTTTTTGCTGATTTTTTTTAATTATATTATGTTGTATTGTTGTTGTTATTCTTTCAAAACTTCACATCTTTCAAAGTTATTTGAAATTTCTAGAGGAATTTCTCCGCAGATCGAAACTTTTGAAATTTTATATTAGTAGGTTGGTTACAATCTCTTGGCAAGATCTCAGCATACCTACATGATATATCAGCCAAATCTGCTATATAACAACTATATTTATTTGCCCTGTCAACCTACAAACATTATTCTAGACCCGAAGCCAACATTTGATCAATGTACGAGTCACTACGAATGATTGGAGAAGGGATCTTTTTTCTCTCATATATACATTGTCTCTCGTCTTCTCACTATTCATCGTCTTTCTCAATTCATCAATCTTCATCTCTTCCATAAAAATCATCAACCACAACTAATATAAAACGTGATAATAATTGTTTAATGTGAATTTAAAGATTAAATATCTTTTTTAATCAAAAACTTAATATAAACATTACAAGGGTATAACGTGATAATAAAAATATAAGGCGTAAGTAAACAAAAGGTGTCCAACCTATGTCCGTTTTTTAGTTTAATGCCTAACGTTTATTTCGTTCCAGTTTATTGTCTAACGTTTCAATCCGTGACTTAAAATGGGTCAAGCTTTGACGGACCGTTAAGTTTGGTCGTTAACCCATTAAAAATGTCACCTGACATATTTTTTTAATATTAAAAAATGATTTCTGAAAATAAGAAATGTGTCTAATGTCTATTTCGTTCCAGTTTGGTCTTAATGTTTTTCCCTCTCTTCCCCTTCTCCACCATTTTTCTGAAATTGAATTCAAGAACTTAAGTTAGTCTTGCACATACATATATATCCACCAATTAACTTTTCGTAGTTCGTTTACTTCAACTACTTCCCACCTTTTTTGTTGTCCGTTTCCTTGCTCTTCTTGAGTTAAATCGTCGTCATTTAACTTGTTGTTGTTGCTACCAATTGAGCTCTTGCTCATGCTTTCTTTATGAGCATTTCCATTTCATTTCCAAAACATACAATCATACAAAACAAACCAAAATAAGAAGAAAAACCATCAGTTTTAGCTGGTTCAAAGTAAATGAAAGATAAAACAATGTTAAGAGGAGAAAACTCAGATTCAAAGCCAGAAGGAGAGAAAAAGACAAAGATAATGAAATTGGTTTGATGGAAAAGAGGGGGGAAAAGGGAAAAAGAGTGAAGGAGAAGATAGTGAAATTGATTTAGGATTAAAAGGTAAAAAGTTAAGGATTTGATGGGAAATTAATTTATTATTTTCATAAATAAATTTTTAGTATTAAAAAATATGCCAGGTGTCATTCTTAATGAGTTAATGGTCAAATTTAACGTTCTGTCACGCTTGAACCATTTTGAGTCACGGAATAAACGTTTGACATCAAACTAAAATGAAAAAAACGTCATGTACTAATATGAAAAAAGCATAGGTTGGGCAAATTTGTATACTTCAGCCAAAATATAATGTAGCGAAGCCTTGAATCTAGGTATTGGACGGTGATCCGGTGAAGCTGGGAAGCATCATTTATGAAACAAGCAAGCAAATTAGAGGTGCAACCTCTATTTAAACCACCTAACCACTGCACTCAAGTGTTAGAATTCACTCACCAATGGCTTTCAAAGCTCTGCTGCTGTTTGTATTGCCCACTTTTCTGCTACTCTCAACAATTGTGTCTGTATGTCCTCATCTCTTTACTCAAACCACCAAATGATATTTATTTGTCACTCATCTTTTTCTTTTCTTTTCTTTCTTCCCTTTAGGTTGCTTCCAATGAAACTGGAGAGAAGATTGAGGTGCTTTTATCAACTTTACTTCAATGCTTGTCTTCTTTGTATAAGAATCTTAAATGTGCTTCTTTTGATACATTAGGCTAATTAAGTTGGTAGTTATTGCTTTACTGAAATTCTTGCGTATCACTCTTCAGGTCAAGGTTGTTGCTCCGGTGAAGCCTCCTACTCTAGCCCCACCATGCAAGGTCCCTACTTCGCCATATACGCTACCAACTCCGGCACCGCCAACCAAGGCCCCTACTCCACCATATAAACCCCCAGTTCCTGCACCACCAACCAAGGCTCTTACTCCCCCATCTCCTTCACCACCACTCATGCCCCCTACTCCAACACCCCCATCAAAGGCTCCAACTCCACCATATAAGCCCCCAACTCCATCACCAGCACCCCAACCAAAGCCCCAACTCCTATGCCTCCAATTAAACCCCCTACACCACTATACAAGCCACCGACGCCTACACCTCCTTATAAGCCACCAAATCCACCATTGCCACCAGTTAGGACAAGAAAGGGTAATTTTTGTTTTAATCTTTTCGCCACTTACTACAGTTAAATCTAACATCAGCTTTTCCATAACTCGGGGAACTTTATCTTTGATATTTTTTTGTTCCAACACTTGTTGGATGGCAGATTGCATCCCATTATGTAGAGAGAGGTGTAAATTACATTCAAGGACTAAACTGTGCTTGAGAACATGCATCACATGCTGTGATAGATGCAAATGTTGTTCCACCAGGTACTTATAGCAACAGAGAAATGTGTGGCAAGTGTTAGACCGACATGACAACCCACGACAATAAACCCAAATGTCCTTGAAATACCAGAGGATGTTTTCTTATATGTAATAGCTACAAGCTTGGTGTAATATGTTTTGTGAGAATGGTTTTCTTTTAATCCTATAACCTATGAACTTGTCAAAATAGTTTTAATTTATCATATTTGAAGATTTAAATATTGAGTTCCCTTCTGGCTTCTGTTCTCGTAATGAAATTTTCTGTTCCAAAATTGGAATAGTATCTGTATGCAAAAATTGAAGTTCAATAATCCCAATAACTACTAAACTTGGATGGAAGAAGCCCACCGTGGAAGCTTATGCCTAAGGTCCATTTCTGTCCCTACGAATACAATGATTATTTAAGTTGAAAAAAATATTATTTTGGTATTTTTTTTAGAAACACAATCTTGGTAAGATTCTTAATTAACATTAAATTTTAGTTTTAATCCTAAAACCTTAGTTTCACATAATTAACTTTCATCATTAATTAATTGAAATGATTTATTTAATTAATTATACTATAAAATCAAGTTAATACGAATTAAGATATAGATATTAAATCACAAATACAATATAATAGTGGGAGCCTCATATCAAAAGAAAATCTAATTATTGACTTCTAAGATGTATTGTCATTTTTCCAAGATGAGATACCGTAATTTTGACTGCACTATTTATTTATGTATTTATATATTTATTCATATATGTATTTTATTTTATTTTTATTTTTAACTTTTTAACTGTAGATATCTTTCACAAAAATTACTCTTAATCTAACGGTGGACATCCTACTACTCTAACTCCCTTACTCATTGTATATGAGAATACGATTTTGTTGATGTTGTTGCGAGATGTATTATGTCATGAGCTGAGACAGTAATTTTGGCTTCACGACAGAGAAACCAAAATTAAGGGAAAAGATGGATGTAGGTGGGATCTTGGGTAACAGAGACTCAAAGCAAGGCAAATTGAACATACCCAGAAGACGAAAATGGGTGAAGCGAAGGGAAACATGGCTGGTTATACTTGGTGTCATCCTCCATGCTGTTTACATGTTAAGCATCTTCGACATCTACTTCAAGACTCCCATTGTCCACGGCATGGATCTCGTCTCCCCTCGCTTTTCTGCTCCCGCTAAACGCCTTGTTCTTCTTGTTGGTAATCCCTTTCTCTTCTTTCTCCTTTTTAAGTTTCTAAGATTCGATTTTTTTATACAAATAAGTCTTTTTTATGTTGGGTGATTGATAATGAGAAATTACTTGTTGAGCTTGCTGCAAATCTGGAAATTTAGCTTATTAGAAGTAAAGAGCATTCGGGGTACGTTAGTTATTCCGCTTTGTACTAAAAAAACTAAGTTTTGATATGAAATATGAAAAGTTCAATGGTGTCCTGTTCATGGTAATTGTGATGCATCAACGGTTAAGGTTTGGAACTTTGTGTTTTCCTCAATTGGTTAATTCATCTTTTAATGTTTGGTGTAATTGCTATGCTTTGGCTAAACTATATCATTGCAGCGGACGGTTTACGTGCTGATAAGTTTTTTGAGCCGGATTCAGATGGGAATTTTAGAGCACCCTTTCTAAGAAGTGTGATTAAGAATCAAGGTCGATGGGGAGTATCTCATGCTCGGCCTCCAACTGAGTCAAGACCTGGACATGTTGCTATAATTGCTGGCTTTTATGAGGACCCTAGTGCTGTTACAAAAGGTTAGCATTTTAAGCATTGTTTAATCACCTTGGTGGAATTGAAACAAATTTTCCCCTTTCTCAAGCTTTGTCATTTTGGGTGCAGGATGGAAAGCTAATCCTGTCGAGTTTGATTCGGTTTTCAATCGTAGTCGGCATACAATTTCTTACGGTAGCCCTGATATTGTTCCAATATTTTGTGGTGCTTTGCCGCATAGCACTTGGGCTACATATCCTCACGAGTTCGAAGACTTCGCTACTGGTCTGTTTAAAATTCTGTGAAAGGCAAATTTCTCTTATAAGTTGTGAAATCATTCTAAAAGCAATGAAGTAAGCTCAATGTGAAAAAAATAATAAAAAGGGTTCAGATCAAACTATTTTCTATTGAACTTTTAATTAAATACAACTGCTAGTCATTTTAGATATTTCTTCTTTGCTTCCAATCATACCTAATTTATTTCTAGTCCAGTTAGATTACACTTACATGAAAATACTATATGTTGAGACCTTGCAAAAGTTCAAACTATATTGTATCAGTACTCTTATATACTTGGCTTTCTTGAAATCCTTAGATCATGATGTTCACTAATGTTTGTATTTCATCTTTTGTGATTTTCTCTCTTGTTCAATGCTTATTCCAATTGATGTAAATGCAGATGCATCCTTTTTAGACGAATGGTCTTTTGATCAATTTCAAAACCTTCTGAATAAGTCTAACGAAGACCCAAAGTTGAGAAGGTTACTTGAACAAGATAATCTTGTTGTATTTCTGCATCTACTTGGTTGTGATTCAAATGGTCATGCACATCGTCCCTTTTCATCCATTTACCTCAACAATGTAAAGGTTGTTGATCATATTGCTGAACGTGTTTATAATCTTCTTGAGAATTACTACAAGGACAATCGTACATCTTATATCTTCACGGCTGATCATGGAATGAGTGACAAAGGTTGGTGAACTCTTTTATATACTTCACCTTAATTACTTATGTTATCTTGCTCTAGGCTGTATGAATGAAAATATTTTGATATGACACCTAAGCTTGAAATCTTATTCGACGTAAGGTACTAAGGTGTGTCTACCACTAGGCTATACCTTGGCCATTGTAACATGTAACTTCTTACTAGACATCAACTAGTTTGCTACTCCTTGGTCCTTTCTTCTTGCATTTTTTTAATTTGATGTTTCTAATTAAAGATTCTAACATGATTAGCCTTTGATTACTAGGAAGTCATGGGGATGGGCATCCTACAAACACGGATACTCCTCTAGTTGTTTGGGGAGCAGGTGTAAAACATCCCAGGCCAGTCTCTGAAAAAGAGCACTCTGATCATGTTCTTCGTTTTATTGATCAACATGTGCATGACGCACCAACACCTAAAGAATGGGGCCTCGATGGAATTGAAAGAGTTGACGTCAATCAAGCTGACATTGCCCCCCTCATGGTTGTTTAATCTTGATAAAATATCAATGTTTTGAAGTTTTTCTTTGAAACATGTTTAACCCACATTGAACTGACACACACTTGAATTTTTGTGGCAGTCAACTCTTCTTGGTTTGCCTTGTCCAGTCAATTCAGTCGGGAATTTACCACTAGGTTATGTTGACATGAAAAAGGTGAGTCCAAATACTTTTCATTAGAATACTTCTTTGCCATTTGTTATGGACTTGGATGGTTTTTTTACCCTCTAATATATGGACTAATGATTTTTCAGTGCGACTAAACAAATGTTCATTATAATAAATGTGTGGAGAACTAATGAAACTTTCCATCATTTAATGTTCAGGAAGAAGAAGTAGAAGCTGTGCTAGCTAACACAAAACAGATTCTAAACCAGTTTCTGCGCAAATCACGTATCCTTTTCTTATACTAATTTTATTTCAGTGCAATATGATTCTTATTTCCCCAATAATTCCTTGAAAAGAACTTATTGCAAAGTAAGATAATTTTCTTTCTCTAAGGTTTGTTCCTCTTGAAATTTAAGCTTAGTTCTGTGGGCTCAAACTTTGTGTATTTACTCAGCAATACTCTTTTTAAACTTTTCTAAGCATTTATCTGATTCTGACCAATTAAGATCTTATTCGCTCTTATCTACATGTTTTTTATTCAATTGTTGGATATTCCATTTGATTGTTAACATGTGGAAGTAGTTACTGGATTATGGTTTTTCTTTTCATAATTCCTTTCTTTGACAAACTTAGATATCAAACATTCACATTCACTATATTTCACGCCTTTCAAGCCACTTGCGCATTATTCCTCCATGTTGAATCATATTGAGGATTTGCTAAATGCTAGAGACTATAAAGTTGCCATGCAGCTATCAGAAAATCTAAGAAGCTTGGCACTGCAGGGGCTTCATTATTTTCAAACTTATGATTTGCTGATGCTGATGACAGTAATCACTCTTGGATATATTGGTTGGATGGTCTTTCTTGTTCTTCATGTTCTTCAAGCTTATACTTCATTTTCCAGAGATATATTTATGGAGGAAGCGGTTCATCAGAAATTTAATACAGGAAAAGTAATGCCTATGGAATCTTAACCACTTTTAAACTTTGCAATTACAAAGGAAAATTTAAATAAAATCAAATGAAAATGTTTTTTTTCACGAGTTTTATGAAGTTTGAAGCTAAAAGGCCTTATGGTAATTTAGTTACTTAAGAATTACCGTATATCTTAAATCTAACAAGAACCAAATTGTGCTCCTGTTTTCTTTGTGCCTTTTTCGGTTGTGCTTCGTTTAATATATTTATTTCATGATTGGTTTCTCTCCTTGCTCCTTTTTTTTCCATCAAACATGCATTTTCTAGGAACACGAAAACTGTTCATTTCTTCCAGTTAGTTGTTACATTCTCACATATGAAATATGTCATCCTATACAGCAGGCTCAGCTATTTGGGTGCCTGTTTATGGCAGTCGTCAGTCTTCTACTATTTCTGGAGGGGACCCCTCCACTTTACCATGCATACTTCGCCATGACGGTATTTCTCTGGACGCAAATACTTGATGAATATAAGTTTATAAAAGCACTTTGGAGACACTTAAGTGGGAAAAAACCGGACTTTGTCATTAAACTTCTGGCCATTGGTGCGGTCTCACTGATCATTCTTGAGCTCCTGGTATGGTAGTTCAACATCCTTTTGTTTTTGTTATTATCAAGTGAAAGTTGTGTTCTAAACCACTTTTTATGGTACATTGTGCAGGTGCATAGCTTCACTGAGAGAATACTCTACACTTGGTGCTTCCTTGTAGTTGGACTTATAGCTTGTATATATCTTTACAAGTTAATTCCTTGGAGATCCGGAATTCCAGTTTTTATTTGTCTCGCTTGTTGGTTCTTGTCTCTATTTACTTTAATGCCTGCAGAAATTCCTGATAATAATAAGTTGGTGTGAGTTGCCTTCCTTGTTCCGCCTTTATCATGATTTTTTTCTTTTATTTAAAGAAATGTGAAATATTTTGGCAAAAGACAGTTTTCTGGAAGAGGATTTAGTAGAACGCCATAATCATTGTGATTTCTTGGTAATAGTCTAGGAAGTAGATCGTGCTAGATGAAAACATTCTAACCTCATAATTTCCAGTGTGTGTTTCTTGAGAGTTAGTGTTTAGACGGGATATTGTAAAGGCAAGTGTCATTGAACCAAAGTGTGATCTTATAACCATCGTTTCCACTCGAATTAATCTTATCAAATCTTTATGCCAAAAGTTCGATTCCTTATATATATTGATAAAGTTTAATTCCTTAGAATGAAAAGAAATGATAATATTAGCTATTACAATTTAAATGATAATACTTGTGCCTTATGGAATTATGCAGAATTGCTAGTGGAGTGATGATTGTCGTAGTAGGATTAACTGCAAAATGGCTTGACCTGCATGCTGCTGGGAATAAATGCTGGTACGGCATCTGTAATCATGAAAAGAGGCAACCAGGTTTCCAATGCACTTTCAATTACAGGTAGGCAACATATCCCTCTACCTTTTTGCTGGAATGATAAGCTCATGTCTCATCTTAACAGAATCAAACATAAATGCTTTTTTTACTGCTTGATATCAGGCTCTTTTGGTTGGGTTATCATTGGTGATGGTGTTTTTATCTACCTCTCACAGAACAAAGAAGCAAGAACTACACACAATACACCAGCTGATGAACTGGTTCATTGCTGGTATACTTTTATTGTCTTCTGTTTTCACTAAATTTTCAGGCTCGTCAATAAAGCTATTTTTAAGGCATTGACCATTTATAATGTTATAAGAAACTATTTTTCTTAACTTGAATTGGAGACCTTTTTAAGGTCATTTTCTCCACATTCGGCTGTAATACCTTGAAATGCTTCATTGTTGGGTCTCCACATGTCAAACATGTGCATGAGGTGCACATGGTTAGCATATTTGATTAAATGGCTGTAGCCTGTAGCCACTGAAAACTATAGGTTTTTGTTAAATTCCCAAAAATAAGTGGGACTTTCTTTAATATGTATAATCAACATCTATGTTATTCAGACTTGGGTGTTAGTATCATATACAAGTATGTTTCCAACATGGGTATATTCAATTTCTTTTTTCATGAAATGGGTATATTCAATTTCTTTTTTCATGTTTTTCTATGTATTTGGAGGGGCATATCCTCATATCTGTATCCAGATATGCAACAAACATGGGTGTTGGACACATGCACTTCAAACAATGAAGAGTCGTATTAACATTGTGTCCCATATACATCTATTGGGTGTTTCATTATCAAATCTTCCATTGATCTTGTGCTTGCCAATGGTTGCACATCGACTGACTGCTTAGAGTATTGCAAGTTGCTACTGCAGACTCATTAAGTCATAACCACACAGATTACATTGAATCTTGTATTATAAAAACATACATTATCTTCCATCAAAGGTTCCCCTAATTTGTTTTTCCTTTTTTGTAGGTTTCTCGATGGTTCTCCCATTGTTTTCAGAAAATGGCCTCTTGTCCAGACTCAATTCTATATTTCTTGGTTTTGCACCACCATTCCTTCTACTATCTATTGGGTAGATCTCATTTTAAACTCGTGTCATCATGGTGCTCGTTTGACAATATTCTACAATTGAACAATATGATGTATGTTATGATTTTCCCCCTTTGTTTTGAAACCGTACAGATACGAAGCTGTCTTCTATGGTGCACTTGGTCTTGTACTAATTGCATGGGTTTTATTTGAAAACTCACTTCTTTACTTGAGTAAAGTGAAAAATTCTTCTGCTTCAGGGAAGAATTTGGAAGCAAGTGTCTCACTTGAAAGCAATGATAGATATTTGCAGCTGTCTGATATGAGAATTCCGTTAACCTTTGTGAGTCATCTTTCAATACATGTTCTATTGTTCTTCATTATTTGCATATGAATTTGTTATTCATGTATTTCTTTTGAGGAGCTGTGATTGCTATAGGCACTTTATGTTACTCGTACTCTGAGTTTTGATACTGGCATGGTTAAAAGTTCTTATTTTTCCTTTTATTTAGAGGATGTTGGAGGTCATATCCCCATAAACATGTGTCAAGCATGAGTATTTTAAAAGTCGGAACAACATAGATTCACTTAGTTTAGAGGATATTAAAGTTTGTAATCTTGGTGCTGATGGATTGTCCTTGGTAGATGGTTTTATTTAACGTGGCTTTCTTTGGCACTGGAAATTTCGCAAGTATTGCTAGTTTCGAGATTTCATCTGTCTACAGGTTCATCACTGTTTTCAGTGTAAGTCATGGTTAAACCACCAATGTATCTTTTATGATTTCTTCTTGGATCCCTGCTGAACTGATTTACTTTCAATTGCAGCCCTTTCTGATGGCAGCACTCCTTATCTTCAAGTTATTCATACCATTCCTTCTTGTCATGTAAGTATTTCGGTTTCAGAAAGATGTCAGATCGATCAATGATGCTTCGGTGACACTGGCTTCATGACCATTGTTTTTCAGCCATGCATGCTACTTTCCTTTTGAATCTGTCTATGGGCTATTATTAAATTTGATCTCTGTTTAGTCTTTAATCATTGCACGTTATCTTTAGAAGCTTCATTGTGGCTTCATAACTAAGGTGACGTGTTTAATCTCTGTTTCCCATACAAAAATGCAAGGTGAAATTTGGTTCGTATCGATATGTTGGGAGTATTATTGATTTAAAACTATAATAATTTTTGGTGAGCAATTGAGGGTTTTGCTTTTGGAATGTAGAAAATGCTAAAGACGCCCCTTTTCATAAATAATGTTCTCAATATCTTAGAAATTATCTTTTATTTTCTCATTTGTTGTTTTATGTTCTTTGAGAAACACAGATGTGCATTCAGTGCAATAACCAAACTACTTAAAGTTCCACGGATAGGGTGCTACTTCCTCGTTATTCTGTGTTCAGACATGATGACCATCCACTTCTTCTTCCTGGTATTAAGACATTTTCAGAAATAAAGTTTGTTGCAGCTTATTCTTTTGATTGATATTTTAGCCTCTTTTTAACCTTGTTTTGCTTGAAAGTAGAGGAAATTATGTGAGATCACCTCGTATGTTATAGTTATTTCCTGAGGACCTCACCGATTCGCTATTCGGGTTGTTAACAGGTGAAAAACACGGGGAGCTGGATGGAGATTGGTAATAGCATCAGCCATTTCGGAATCATGAGTGCCCAAGTTGTGTTTGTGCTGCTACTTTTTGCTCTCACAAATATATACACGAAAGACATTGAAATCAGATCAGCTAGTCGAGATCCTCGAAAAGTAATGTGATTGGTGAGAAACTAGAGCTCGTTGGAATTATAAAGAGCTAATCAAATTTATTTGCAAGGTGAGATCTTAGACTTTCAGACCATTGATGCAAGCCATGGATTTAAACTTTGTTTCTTGCATTTCAAAATTGAAGTTGATATGAGAAACATTTTGACTCTTCCCATTGATGCAAGGTCAGCTTTGTATTAACAGACATGAGAAACATATAGATTAATGGGATTTTCCACCTCTTCCCATTCATTGATATGAATCATTTTGACTCTTTTAAATTGAAGTTGGCTTGTTTTTCTGATGTACTTTTTTTTAAAGATGGGTTTTAGTCATAGATTAATGGCTTGTTTCTATTCAAATTATTAAAAAGTGGGCATCATGGGACCTTCTCACAAAGGAAATCTCTCTATTGATCAAAAGGGTCAAATTTACTTATTGGTCGTTACATTTATATACTTTATAGATAACAATCATGATTCTAAGACCGACAATAACATGCATAAGGACTCGGTTTATAAATCTAGTATTGAGCAAGAAGGGGATATTATTCTCTCTCTTACTCCATTTTACACTCTTCAAATCTTCATAAAAAACGATTACCGACCAACTATCATATCTCCATCGGCTGTTATTTTGAATCCAAATTAAAATGAGTACCTCCTAGACTTAATAACCACATTTTCCATCAACAATGGCCCTTACATTTGTATGTCGTGCATCAAACGTCACCATAGACGCCTAAAGAAACTTAAACGAAAAGACGTTTACCGCTGACTAAAACCATTATCCAATTCCTTAGCATCTTCTCTGATGCCGACATTCGCTTTTTTTTCCAAGTCGTAAATTCCAGGAAACTGCTCTTGTCTACTTTATATGTTATAATAATATTATACCATTGACTTGCTCAATCAAAGGTCTCCTCCAACAATACTAATCAAAGATCAAAATCAGTGGCAAACAAAATGAACCAACACCTGTAAGTAATCACTTTCATTCTTTTTTTTTCTGTTTTGATTTGCTTAACTTTGTTTATAACTACAGATTCTGCAGTGGGTTAGAGGTTGCTAGCTTCATTGTCAGCTCTGGGTTGCTCAGACTTTCCTGGGCTAAAATCTTGGATTGTTATGTGGGATTCAACCAAAATGAGCCAAGAAATTCTGGGTTTTCATTAAGATGGAAATGTTATGCAGAAGCTAATGTTAACGTCATTGTTTTCATTACTTCTCCTATTTGTACCAAATCTCACCTTCAAAACTCAAAAGAATCGATTCCTTCTACGGCTAATAAGGAGAGTTTTCGAGTCTTTGAATTCCTCTGCAACAACGGCAACTCTTTCTGTATCCATAAAGCAGCAATTTCCCTTTTTGATGATCACTTTGACGAGCTCTTGCAGTTGAAAACTCAGGTTTGGTCTCTTTCTGATACTTGCTTGTAGTCTTTGTAAAGATTGGATCAAGTGTACAACCCACATTTTGGGGTTACTTCAAGTTTTCAGCTGAGTCAAACAGCTAAAATAGTTGCGAGTTCCATACAAGATGAAATGAATCTAATTGGTACATTTTGGGGTTACTTTTAAGTTCAATGTTTAAACTTTTGCATCTACTTCAGGCTGTAACAATTTCCATGTTAATAACAATCTCTAATTAATGCAGTGTGGAAGGAGTGCCAAGCCCTTAATTTTAACAGGGAATTCATTAGGGGGATCAATTGCCTCACTCTTCACCTTATGGGTGCTTGAAAGTCTTGATATATCGACGGTGAAACGGCCCCTCTGTCTCACGTTCGGGTCACCTCTCCTCGGTGACAAAGGGTTCCAACAAGCCATTTCACAACATCCTACATGGAATTCATGTTTCCTCCATGTTGCTGCAACAAGCAAAGACTCCATCCCAGGACTCTTCATTGTTCCATCCCATTATCTTAATTCCGCGATTGAAGCTTCTAAATACGGTCATTACAAGCCTTTTGGTACCTTTCTTTTATGCTGTGAAAACGGATGTGCTTGCTCTGAGAACCCAGAAGCTGTCTCTGAGGTACTGATGCTGTTCAGAACGGAAGCTGCTGCCAACGAAGAACGGACGATCGATGTTTATGGCAGGATAGTTGAACAATTCGAGTCAGTGATAATCCGTCAAGGCATCTCACAGCTTGGTAAGCCGATGTTGAGTTCGCTTCAAGCTGGAACAACCTTGCTAATAGAAGCTATTAGAACACGAAAAGAACAGGTAGATCGAAGTTCTTTCTATTGTATGGAATGTTGTTCCGATTCTTCATTTCTCCATATTCGAACATCTTACATATACAGTAGTCCAAGTAGCATAGCTTATAACTGTCTATAATCTAACTTTGTAGAATCATCAGCAAAAAAGCAATGAATTGGACAACCTGATCAAGAAACTGGAAGAATTGGAAGTGACATGTATGTTGAACAAGAGGAAGGTATTTGACCCTGCAAAGAAACTAAATGACATGAAAATAAAAATGGCATTTCTAGAATGGTATAAGAAGTGTGACAAGGTTAAAGAAATTGGTTACTATGATTTTTTACAAGAACCGGTCAGCTCGATCGGATCACGATATCACCAAGCACAAGAAATTCCTCACGAAAAACTGGGAAAAAATCGTTGCCCAAGCCGAGAAAAAGCCTCAGAAACAACTGGTTCACCTTGAATCACGGTGGCTGTATTCCGGTACAACATGTCGGAGAATGATCGAGCCACTCGATATAGCGGACTACTACCGAAATGGCGGAAGGAACTATGTGACTAACGGCAGACCGCATCATTACATCAAGTTGGAGCAATGGTTGGAAGAAGACGAGAGACAGAGCGGGGTTTCAGTCGACAGCAAGCAGAAACAAAGTGTGGATGTTATTCTAACGTACGATTCTTGCTTTTGGGCTCAAGTCGAAGAGGCTCGAATACGCTGCAAATCAATGGAGGCTGTGGATATCGAGTTCGAAGAGAGGGAGTCTTCAAGGCAGAAACTGAAGGAGTTTGAGGCTTATGTCATGGAACAGATCAATAAATCTGCGGTATCTTCTGAGATTTTCTTGAAAGGTAGCAGTTTCATGCAATGGTGGAAAGAGTATGAGAAGATAATGGAGCCTGATTACAATTCACCATTGACAAACTTCGTGAAGAACAGTAAATTTCTGCAGTATGGTAGTGGATGCTTGACACTCGATTAACAAATACCAGTAATAATAGTCTTAGAGTGCATGGAATGTAATATTACCGGTGGTATAAAAGATTATCAGAGAATAGATTATTGAGAATGTTGTATTTTTTATTTGGTTGGTTTAATAGGAATGTAAGATTATCGTGTTTGGTTAAAGGAACAAAAGATTATTGGAATGTATATTTTACCAAATTATCCTTATTATATATTTATTTTTTTAACAAGTACTATAATATTATTATAATTAATTTATATATTTTCTTTAAAAATTTTAAATTCATAAAATTTATATAATTTTTTTATAAAATTAAAAAGAAAAATAGGTTTAATGAAAGAGTAAAATTTTATTATAATCCTTGAACTTCATATAAAATTCTAATTGTAGATTTTTTTTGTAAATCTAAAATAGATTAAAGATAAATTTTTAATTTAACCTTCGTAGAATTTTTATTATTCAACGACAGACAGAAGAAGGATAATTTTGAAAAAAATAAAGGTATTTTAATCCAAAACGCCGATATCCTAATAATACCTAAAGGAAGGGATAATCATATTCTCGATAATAAAATATTACCGAGAATAAAATTACCGACCAACCAAACGAAAGAATGAATGAAGATTTCATTATCCAATAATATCTTAGGCCGTGAATCAAACGGCCCCTTAATAGATTGCCGTGAATAATCTTAGAATGCTACAGCTTTTGGCTTCAACGAAGGTCTATGTTTTCATTCTTTTTGACGTGACCGTGTCCAACCTGTATTCAAATATGTATGATTGTAGAATTATGATCTATTAAATATACAATTTTTTTTCCAAAAGAATTAAATAAATCAGAATTCAAATAATATGATTGACATCAGTTTAATGTAATGTGACGTAAAACACATGAAATTTACATTTGTTATAAGAAAGAAGAAATGGTAAAATGCTTGAAGTACAGCCATTATTTTATTGCATAAAACATTGGAAGAAGAACAAGAAAACAACGATGAAGATGGCAACAAAATGAAAGGTGATAGATGGGGACAAGATGTAGCTGTGTTTTGAATGGGGAATATGAGCTGTTTTTAGTCTACACATCCAATTAACCCACCTTTCAGTAGGGACCAACATGCACATGCACATGAAAACACTACCACACACCTTTTTTCTAAAAAAATTAAAATATTATATTTTTTGGGTTAACTTCTTATCTTTTTTTTTTTTATTTTGTTTAATTGATGATGACATCAATTTTAATACTAATTATTGACTGTAAGTGATTATTAATTTTTTTGTTTTTTTTATATTATTTTATTTATTTATTTTTCTTTTTGAGTTTTTTTAATTTTAAATAAAAATCTATGTCTTTGTGACATGTTTTTCTCTACTCTTGTGACATTGTTTTTACTTTTGTGGCACGTTCCTTATGGTTTTTAGTATATTTTTAGCATATATCTACAATCATGTTGGTGCTCGCACAAAGATCCTCACGATATTTATTTTCTGATTGATTTGTCAGTGGTCATGTATTGTCGATGCTCGAGCAAAGTTTTTCTTTTAGTGTTGACGTCATTCTAAGATTTTGCTTTAGTACGGATTTAATATTTTTGTTTTATGTGTGTTTGTTTTGTGACTATTGTTCCCAATTTATCTATGAATGTGTTATAATTTAATATTTTTCTATTATTTTTATTAGTTAATTGCATCATACGTCTTCAATCTATGACCATCATTTTAAATTGGTTCATAAACTTTTAAATATTTCAATTTCATCCTTAAACTATGACTATCATTTTAAATTAATCCTCAAACTTTTGAATATTTCATTTTCATCCCCAAAATGTGATATTCATTCAAAATTGGTCCCTAAACTTTTTGAATTTTTCAATTTTATCCTAAATTATATGTATATACTAATCACATCTCTTGTTAATTAAACAATTAGGCCAATTTATATTATTATATGTTTGAAAAAAATAAATTTTAGATTAAATTATTGTTGAAATCGATTATATATTTGGATGAATATGGGGATGAAATTAGAAGATCTAAAAGTTTAGGGACCAATTTAGAATGAGATTCATAGTTTGGGTTAAAATTGGAATGTTTAAAAGTTTAAGACTAATTTAGAATAAGAGTCATAATTTGAGGTTAAAATTAGAGTGTTTAAAAGTTTAAGCACTAGTTTAAGATAAGGATCATAATTTGAGGGCATATGATGCAATTAAATCTATTTTTATTAATAAAATCCAATTGTATTTTTTTTTAAAATAAAATAAAATGTCTCAGGTTAACACTTGCCTACGAAATTTTCGGGATTTTGATCATTTTATTTTAGTTCTGAAGTTAATATAATATTACTATACGAAATAAATTACTAAAGTGTGACAAATAGAAAAATAAAAAGAATATTGTAAAAATATATATTAAAACTTGTATGAATAAAAGTGTAAATTATAGATTTTATCATTTAATTTTTTTCAATCTTATTTTGGTCATAATTTTTTTCATCAATAAAATTTTAAATTTATTCTATTTTAATCACTTCATCATTAAGTAGTTAATAACATTAAGAGACGACACATAACACCAAAATGATATCCTTTAAAAAAAAATTATTACAAAACGATATCATTTTGAATCCTTATAAAATCTTTTTTTTAAAAAAATTTCTCTTTCTAATTTTTTTCCTTTTTATATCCTGTCATATTTTAATTATTGTTTACCATGATCGACCACCGTCAACCGTCGTTAATGATGACCGCCTAAATATAAATTTGATATCCATTTGACCTAAAAATACTTCATAGTCCACAAATCTAACATCGTTATTTTCTCTCTCACAAAGCTATAGCTTTCTAATAACTCTTTTCGCCTATGGTTGAATCACTGCTTGAATTGAATCGTAAAATTTTTAGAATCTAACTTTTGTAGTCAGGATTATCTCATATTCAACTTTCACGTCGGATCAACTTAATTTTGTATTATGTTTTTTTTCTTGTTATTTTTCAATCTTTAGCTGTTCAAATTTTATAGTGGATTATAATCATTCAAGAACCAAGAAACCAAAATAAAAAAATAAAGACAAATTTCTTGTATCAATTTTTATTTTTTTCCCTTTCCTTTTTGTTTTTTAATTTGTTTTTGCATATTTTTCTAATGTGATTTTGTTACTAGTTTGATTTAGTTTTCTAAGTGTTTTAACTTACCTGATTTTACTTTTGCTTACAGGTAATAAATCACTTTCATGGTTTAAAAAATTATTATTATCTCTTGAATTTCTAGATTTAAGCTGCACATAGATTGAAAAATGAATTTTCATTGTCAAATTGTTAAGAATCTTTAAATAAATACTATTTTATAGTCACTCCACATTTATAAAAAAATTTGCTTTAGTTTTTTTTTTTCATTTTTTGCAGCGGTTTCTTGAAACTTTTGCACGGGAAAATTAACATTTTAATTTACATCCAACCGAACATTTTATGTTTTTATAATATTTTTTATTACGTCCCTTCATTATATCCAAGCCCGGCTCCTAACAGGAGTAGCCGGAGCGGTGGCTCCAACCCTCTCTTTGAGAGGCCCACCTTTTAAAAAAATCAAAAATTAAAATTAAAAAAAAAACATAAATGCCAAGTAATTTTTAGTTTTAATCGATGAATTTGCTTCAAGAAATGCTTTGAGGACAAGCTTGTTCAAGTGACTAATATGTAATTTTTAATTTTGGTGAACTTATTATTATGTAAAAGTTTTGTGCATTGTTTTTTATATCTTTTAGTTTTAAAATTAATTACTTACGCCTCCATTGCTTAGGAACCATTTTTTAATTTTCGCTTTGGGCCTTGATAATGACCAAGACGATCCTGTCACTATCGTTCCTTAATATTAAATTAGGTTATCGTCAAGCATACATTCCGAAAACTTTTACACCAGAAAGTGATGTAGTTTCTATGATTTCAAGATCTCTTTATTTAGTGTTATTTTGATGATTACGACTCTGAATCTCTTTGATATTTGTATCATATATTTTTAATATAATTTCTTAAATTCACGTTATTTTATATAAAATCATGCATCAGAGTGAAAAGGTTGACGTTGAGGGTAATTCCCAACTTCCTGAACTTGAAGTTTGATGGAGGTTGCGATGGTTTTGTAATGGACAGTTCAAGTTGAAGTTGCTATTGATTTAAAAAAAAAAGGAAAAGGAAAAGAGACGATGATCTTAATATCATTATTGGCCGTCAAGAGTGACAACCGAAGACAATACTAAACAGATTATGGAGGAAGACGATGAAAGTAGATAATTATGAAAATAAATTAGAAGTGGGTTTAAATTATTATTCTTTTAAAATATTAAGATTTTTTTAAAATTAAGAATAAATTATAATAATATATGAAGCTGAAGGTAAAATTTTTGTTACAGTAATTTTATTAATTATCATATTATATGAGTTACTTTTAAAAAATAATAAATTAATTGTATTTTAAATCAAATAATAAAATTTTATAATTTTATATGATTGATTGACTAAAAAACATCTTACAATTAAATGGCTATTTAGATATTTTACCTTATTAGTCGAATATATAATTTTTATTTTAAAAATTGGTGATACAATGAATTAGTTTGAAGGGTAAATGTACGGTGACCACTAAATTATAGTTAAAAATTATTTTGATTATCAATGTTTTATTTTAATCAAACAGACTATTCAACTATTTAAATGGTTCATTCAAGCTATTCTCTATGTTCTCTATTAAGGTGACGTGTCAGTTAATAAATTAGCTTAATTATATATTTAGTTCTTAATATTTACACATTTTATCAATTTAGTTTTAATTTTAATTTAATTTAAAAAAATAACCCAACCTGTGTAAGGTAAAAACAAATTAAGATGAATACTAATTGGAGAATCGAACTACACTGCAAGGGAGCCTGGGAAAGCTTTTGCCGCTGGGGCAAACTACCATTTTGATTTCAAGTTGCATAAGCTTTTATATTTTATTTGAGATTATATATATATATATATATATATATATATATAGTTAATGAAAAATTTAGAAATAAAAATTAGTTTAATATTTTTTTTAAATTAAATTATTTTTAAATAATATATAAAAAAATTA